GCCTCCCGGGCCCAAAGGAAACGCGACATGAAGAGCAATTTTGGCCCCGCTACAAGATCATAGAGCTTTAGCCCTGCCCAGTAGTACGGGGCCTCGGTGAAGGAATAACATGGACACTGCCCGCTCCAAGTATCGCACACCTTCGATTTCAAACAAAAACACAAGGACAAATGTGAAGGGTAAATGCATAGAAGAGATACCGGCACAAGAGATACCGTGTTACATGCCCAGATGGGCGATGTACATAATAACCGAGGATCCGCAATGTGATGAAAAGGACTGAATGGACAATGCAGTGCTAGTGAAATCTCAACAAGCAGTGTATATCCTGATACATACAACAATGGTGTTTGATACCACAGTGGAAGATTTAGATACAAGTCCTGACCTGACCGGGACTGACCCCTTTCACGTAGTACAAGATAGCGAAGCAGAAGGCTAGAATACTAATGACGAGCCCAATCAATGTTGCAATGCAGACTAAACATACATCGTTCTCACCACAAGGTGTGAAGGGGCCTGGCGCTATACACAGGAAGAGGCGCCAGGTCCAGCCATGCACAGACGAAGAGGAGGGGATCAGACGAACAGGAGGGGAGAGAAGGGAAAGTCGTCAACACCGAGTCTCGTTACAAGTCCCAAATAGTCCCTCGTCAAAATGTCTGAAGTCCAACGTCGAGTCTGGATCCAAATGTCACCAAGCTCTCTCTCTCTCTCTCTCTCTCTCTCTCATAGTCTGCTGATGCAGTGCAGTCAGATATTGAGAAGGTGAGAGGGGGATGGTGGACTGAGAAGAGGAAGAAGAAGAACTCTCTCTCTCATATGCCAGGTACTAACCTGTGAAGGTGGTGCTGTGCTGCAGGTACCTTAAAGACGAAGCTAGAGCCATGGCACTGCAGGTAAAGTCCCTCTGGCCTCCGCCCCATCTCTCTCTCTATAGTACTACTCTAGCTATGGCGCCCAGCACTAAGACTACTGCTAGCGCTACAAAGCGCCCAGCGCTGAAGACTACTGCTAGCACTAATACTACTCCTGCAGCGCTCCTCCAGAGTGCTGCTGCCGAAACCTGAAGACTACCTCCTGCCTCCTGAACTGCAGGTGAAGTGCCTGGGAAGTACCTATGAACTACCTACCTGCCTGCAGGGCTGGCCAGTCCTATATAGTGCTGGCTCGTCCAGGAGGCTGCTCTTGCCAATGCCTCGACGTGCCCGACCCTGGGGTTGAAGCTCAAATAAAGGTCGTCTTGAAAATAGGCCAGAAATGGCCTGAGCTAAAACCCTGGTCTGGTGCCTAAGTTTCGGGGTAGGCCGAACTCATGAGGGCCCGGAAATGGCCCTCAGTTTCAGGCTGAAAACACTCAGGGCCGGAAAGGCCCTGATTTAGCCTGAAACGACACAGGGCCTGTAGGCCCTCGTTTTCAGGCTTTCAGGCTGAAACGACACAGGGCCTGTAGGCCCTTGTTTTCAGGCCTGAAAACGTCACGGGCCTGGATATGGCCCGTGCAGCCTGTTGCAGGCGCAGCATGTAACACCCCCCCCTCCTTATGAAGTCAAGCCGGGGCGCGGGCGAAGCTGACGATCTGAAGGCGAAACGTGGATGCGGGTGCGACGTGGAGCCGAAGATACCGGCTTGCCTTGCATCTTTCGTTCGTAGTGTGCGAGAACATCCGGAGCTGTGGCTTGGAGTTCCGCACGGGTTAACCAACGGTCAGCTTTGTGACTGCAATACGCAAAATGTACCAAGTACTCGGTTGGCCTGTTGCCGTAGCGTCGCTGGGAGATGATGCCCCCGACCTCTTGAAAACCATCCATAGAGGGTGGGTCTTGCGATCGTCGCCTGGGAAAATCGTCATGTTCCGCTGGCGTGTAAAGAGCCAATTTGGAGCAATGAAAGACCGGGTAGACAGGCAAGTGGGCGGGCACCTGAATGGTGAAGGAAGGTCCCTCTGGTGCATCCCCAGCGGGTGCTATGATCGGCCAAGGCCCCATCCATTTCAGGAGGAGCTTGCGAGAGATATCTTGTTCAAGGCTGAATTCCGCGACGGAAACCCAAACGAGATCGCCGGCGCGGAATGGGTCAGGATGGCGATTGGCCTGTTGGCTCATGCGTTGCTGTGTCTTGGCCATCTGGTCGCGTGCCTTGACAAGTAGCTCTTGCATCAGACGCAAGAAAAGAAGATGGTCGTCGCTCTCGGCCGTTCGTGGAATGATCGTGTCCAATGAAGAAGTGACCGGCGAGCCGTGCTCGAACTCGAAGGGTGACATCCTGATAGCCGGGTGGATGCACGAGTTGTATGCCAACTCGAGTTCCGGCAGCCGCTCAACCCAATCCTTTTGATCGGGACGGATGAGAGTGCGAAGGAGAATCTGTGCGGTCTGATGCACCCTCTCCGTTTGGCCATCGGTTTGGGGGTGGCGAGCCGAACTTGGCTTGAGAGATGAGCCCCATCGTTTGATGAGCGCCAACCAAAAATCGGACATGAACCGAGTGTCGTGGTCGCAGCCGATTTCCTTGGGGTAACCCTTGTTTCGAATCCAACCGGCGTAAAAAAACTCGGCCAATTCTGGTGCCTTGGCATGATAGCGACAAGGCAGAAACATGGCGAACTTGGTGAGTCGGTCGACCACCATGAGAATCCCATCCACTCCGGTCTTGTGCTTCGGGAACGGGCCGGTAATGTCCATGGCGCTTCCCTTCGCCACAAGGGTACTGGTAATGGTCGCAACTCGCCGTACGGATGATGATTGAGGGATTTGCAACGTCGACAAACCTCACATGACTCGCAATAGCGTGTGACGTCGTCGAGAAGACCGGGCCACCAAAAGCGCTCGCGGAGTCGGCCAATCGTACGATTGACTCCAAAGTGTCTGGTGGCGGAAGCATCATGGAACTCGCCAAGAAGCTGTGTGCACAAGTGTAAATCTCGTGGCACACAAAAAAGATCCTTCCCTCGCGCGTGGACGAGCAAGTACCCCTCTTGGATCTGATAGTGCAATGGCGCCGGATTAGGAGAGGAGCAATTACTTGTCGCAAAACTCGGGGTCGACTTGGTAGCCGCTAGCACTTGAGTGCCTGTACGAAGGCCAATAATTCCTTCTTCCGTGTATCGTCAATCGAGGGTCGATTTGGTAGTCGCTAGCACTTGAGCGCCTGTACGAAGGCCAATAATTCCTTTTTCCGTGTATCGTCAATCGAGTGCACGACAAGCACTTTCTTGCTAAAGTACTCGATCGGGTGCAAGTCCACACCGTCATGTTGCTCGAGGACGGCACCAATGCCATAGGCGGACGCATCGGTAGTGGCACGTGTCGGCAAAAGCAAATCGTAGATGCGCAACACCTCCGCGGATAGCAATGCGGCTTTGAGAGCCAAAAAGGAAGTCCGCGCATTGTCGTCGAAGTCGAATGGTCGGTCCTCACATTGAAGCTTGGATAAAGGAGCCGCGATCTTCAAGTATCCCTTGATGAAGCGTTGATAGTAGCCGGCTAAGCCAAGGAAGGAACCGACGTTTGTGGCGGTCTTTGGCTCCGGCCACTCTTGCATGGCTTGAATCTTGTCCGACAATGGACTGATGCCCTCCAGTGTGACAAAATGACCCAAGTATTCCAGCTCTTGCCGAACAAATTCGCACTTGTCGCGGTTGGTTTTGTACTTGGCGCGGCTGAGCGTCTCCAGCACTCGTCGAAGGTGCTCAAGATCATCCTCCAATGTCCGTCTATAGACGAGGATGTCGTCCAAGTAGACTAGTACGAACCGGTCCAGCATCCCACGGAACTCGTTGGTCATTGTCGCTTGAAAGGTCGTCGGGGCATTTGTGAGGCCAAAAGGCATAACGATCCACTCAAAATGTCCGTACCGCATCTTGAACGTGGATTTGTAGCAATCTTGCGGGCGTATCAAGATTTGATGGTAGCCCGACTTCAAGTCCAACTTCGAGAAGAATTTCGCGCCGCCCAAACGCTCAAGAAGGTCGTCAATCCGCGGAAGAGGTCCCGCATTCTTGACGGTTTGTGCGTTGAGCTTGCGGTAGTCGATGCACAAGTGAAGATCCTTGTTCTTCTTCGTACGAAGAGAATTGGCGCACCGTATGGTGAGCTACTAGGGCAGATCCAGCCCTTATCCAAAAGATCGTCGAGTTGAGCGCGGAGAACCTCAAGCTCTTCCTCGCTCATGCGATAGATGCATCCTTTCGGCGGCACAGCACCGGCCTCAAGGATGATCTCGTGGGAGATCGGTCGATCCGGCACCACACCGCTAAGAGACTCAAAGATGTCGGTGAACTCGTCGAGCAGCCGCACCACTCCGGGGTCCGAAGACAAACCCGTAGGTGAAGATTCGGTCGTCGCGGCGGCTCGTAGAAAGCATAGGCCTATCTCGGCGGTCCGCTCGTAAGCGCAAGTGGCCCGAAAAGACTTGGTCGTTACAACTTGGCACCGGATCAAGGAGTGCGGAAGAGGAATGGTACACCGCACCTCGGCGTCGAAGGCCTCGCGAACGGTAAGTGTCCGCTGATGGAAGTTAACCGTGTGATCCGCACTTGCAAGCCAAGGCATCCCCAAAATAATGTCGAAGTTCGTGTCTAAGACGTCAAATGTCACCGGTTCGCAGGCATGAGGTGCGAAATAAACTGGCACGGCTTCAATGTAGCGATCAAGGAGTTGTTGTGTCCGACCGTCCGCCAACTTGATTGTCGTCGGGTTTGGCTTCCTTCGAACTTGTGCGCCAAGGCCGGCCCTTTGCATAAAGGACTGGCTGATGAAATTGCGAGTCGCGTCATTATCCAGCAAAGCGATGCAGGACGCTTGCCCAACTTGGATGCGGACATAAAGGAGCGGTGTGTTGTTATCATCGTACCGCTACATGCGAAACTCGCGGGCCACCTTGGTAACATACGCAAGGATGTCCCCAACCGCAGCTTCATCATCCGTCGGCGAAGATGGTCGTGCATAGAAGGCTAAGTATGTGTGGAGATGGGCGCATAGTGTTGCGCATTGCGGTCCCGGCAAGCAACCTGTGGAAGGGAGAGGAAGCCATGCAAAATCCTCGAACGTCAACGGGTCCAAGACTTCTATGTTGAACTCGTGCGTTGAATCCCTTGAAGAGCCACTTGAAGACGATCTACTGTTGTTGTTGCCGGACGGAGAAGAAGCCCCACACACATCTTGTCCTTGAGCTTGAGAACCCAGCGAAGGAACGAGCCGGGCAGCATAGTCCTCATAAGAATACAAAAGAGGACTGTCGACTTCCGCATGTGCCTCGGAATGAAGAGAGGTCGCTCGCGAAGCAACCGATTCCGAAGGCGTCGAGAGTGCAGCCGCATCACTCTCGGCGGTGCTCACTTTCCCGAAGGGGATTTGCCTTGGACTGGCGTGGGGCACGTTGCGGTGTTGTGCACCGCGCTGTTGCACCACAAGCAGTATCGGTACTTAGACCGGATGCGGTACACGCCTTCCGAGATACCGTAATGTGTCCAAGGCTCTTGAGCCGCTGGTCCAGCCCCGGGGGCTGAATTGGTGTGTGTCTTCGGTTTGCCGCGTCCTCGCCCTCTGGCGGGGCGGCCACCATCCCGAGCGGCTGCCAATCTCTCTCCTTCCTGAGAAGAGGCAACCTCGTTTGAAGGGTTAGTCGTTGTAGTTGTTGCGACCACGGCCACTTTCGGCCGATGTTGTCCTCTGCCCTGGCCTGCAGCAGACGAATGGCCCAAATTCTTGGCTTCTATGTTCGTCATGATGATCTGTGAGGCTTTATCAAAAAGCTTCTCACTTGTGGTGAGCGTCTCCGCAACTTGCGTCAAGGGGTTCTGCAACGCCAGGCAGCTCCTTCAGATGAAGAAGTGCTTGATAGCGACAAATGTCGACGGCAAGTTGGGCGTGGATGCCAAGCATTGGCACTCGGTGATCCAGTCCGTGCTTGGCAGGTCGTTCTGATAGAACAATTGAAGTTTCTCGGCTGGCTGAAGCTCTACTTGGAACCGCTTATGCCATGTTGCCTTGAGATCAGCCCAGCTGATCTTTGTATGCAGCTCGGAGACTGCGACGTTGTGCGTGGACAACATGTTGTCCAACCATGCCTGGCACGCGCCTCCCGAGCGGGAGTATAAGTATGCGTGCCGGTTCGGGTTGATGACGTGTTGAATGTCCAACTTCAGCTCAAACTGGGGCCACCATGGGATCAGGTCCGTCTTCGTTGCATCGCAGAAGATCGGGAGGCCGTCAAACTTCGGGATGCTCTCGCGATTAGTCGCGGCCGGACTGGCTGCGGCGACGCAAATCTACTGGTCAATCCGCTGATTTGTCGTTAGAGCGCCGTCCTTGAGAGTCTCGACGTCAATTTCCAAGACGTTGACGCGGTCCATCAAGTTGGAGGGTCCGGTGGGGTGGCTGTTGCAAGTTGCTGTTCCAGCCGGCGTACCCGGTCAAGCAGTTCGTCAATAATTCGAATTTGCTTCCGGACCAGGGTGTCCACGCAAAGGATGTCCTCTTGCTGTGCTGCACAGGTGGCAACCAAGTCGCTCACATGTTCGATTGTGGTGGCAAGGCAAACAGAGGGGGCACCCTCCTCTTCAGCAGCCACTGCCCATTCGTCGGCGATCACCTCGATATCACCCTCACATTCAAGGAGTTTGTCTCGGTGTAGCCGACGGCGTTCGTGTGCGGTCTTCCTTGCTGCCTCAGCGTCCACCTGTTGCTGCTGTTCAGCAAGGCGACGCTGTTCCTCTGCTTCCTCATCTTCCTTCTTACGGGCGGATGTTGCCGCAGCTGCCCGTTGCTTGAATTCTGCTACCATGTTCAGCATGCGGGCCTCATAGGCCTCGGTAGTCTCGCCTGGCTGCTGCTCCATGCCGCTTGTCTTTGAGCGGGTGAGCACCATGCACTGACGTGACCTGCTGCGTGACTGGTTGCTGACGTGGCACTGCTGCCGTGTCCTGCTGACGTGGCCCGCTGACGTGGCAACTCACCAATGTCGCCGCAGGGGGTACCCGAAGGCAGATAGGGAATACCAGAAGGGGCAACGACATAGGTGGGGAGGGGTGGGATAAATCGCCCAGATAAGGAGTCACTAATCAAAAAAAGAAAAGTCATAACTTTGCAAAAATTCGAGAGAAAAGAAACAAATACTCGTTTGCAAGTTCAGTAGGCCCCTGAATTCCCTTGAAGTGCGAAATTATCAATGAGAAAAAATTTCGAACTTTCATACCGCAACCGATTTCCTGATAAAAGAATTCTGAAATGAAGTACAAAAAAAAAATTCGGAATTGCACAGATGAGGGTACGTGCAGTTTGGAGAATGATCACTGCAAGAGGGATTCCCATACCGTTTTTAAAAAAAACGAATTTTGGAATAAAAAAATATTCCAAATAACGGGAATTTGCAACAGGAAATCGAAATTTTTGAAAACTTTCAAATGAGGCCTGCTGCTACGACCTGCAGCGTATGCCTAGGCGAAGCGGATCTCAATGCAGATCTTGGTGGTAGTAGCGAACCTTCAAATGAGAACTTTGAAAACTGAGGTGGGGCGGGTTTCGTGGGAACAGCCGCTGGGACAGCTTGCCGCACAGCCTGCATTGCGGAAGCCTCCCACTAGTGCACCGCCCTTGAGACCCGTTGTGCCAAAGGCACTGCCAAAGGCACAGTCCCCCATTCATTGGGCCCCATCGGGCTTGCTCACACTCACCCTCTCACAACAGATCGTGGATGGCGGACAGTGCATCCACGGCGACCTCCGCCACCCACGTTTTATTCCATCTCGTGGCTAGTTACCCACCGCCTCGCATGCACGCTGACCTTCGTCGGTCCGAGCGTCAAAACGTGCGGAGAAGAATTTTTGTCAGCCCCCAGAACACACAGGACCCCGAGCGGCCCCGTCGAAAGAGGCGCGTGCTCAAGATCCTTCACTGCCATGTCGGCCACCCGTATTTGGCAATGCGATAGCTGAGCCAGGCCCGTCGGCCTCGAAAGCGATCACCGAGCTAAACGCCTTAGAAAAACAAATAAATAGATAAATAAATGATAATAAAAATAAAAATAAACACCGCACGTCCCGCTGGCCCGCGACGCCGCGCACACCTAGGCTGCACTTGGTTGTGCCTCGCCGTCAATACCCCGAGCGCGCCGCTCACCCAGGCGAGGACCCTAGCTTCCTCTCGCGCAAGCCGTCACACAGGCAAGGCTGCACTGGCGTAACTTGCAGAAAACACGCCAAATACCCTTGTAAGGGTATTTGGTTCGACAGCGGGCCTCTGGCTCCGCAACTTGAGTGCTTTCCCCTACTGCAACCCTGAATGCCTCTGCCACAGGTAAGTACCGGCCCTACAGGCCTACCAAACAAGCAAGTACCCTTGCAGGTCACACACACACTTATGCCGACAAGCACTCAGACAGGCACGCAAGTCAACAGGCACACACATACAGACTTAGAAAACACAGCATAATGTGGGAATCTCAAGAAGGCATCCATTCCATCGACAGAACTTCAGAAATCAACAGTGTTCCCCGTCCGAGTTAGAGGCTCACCACACAAGCTGTCGAAAACCCGGTTTTCGACAATTTTGCATCGCCACACAGACTTTCGAAGAATTGCGGCTCAAAAAACTTTCGACAGGTGTCAAAATGGTCCTTTCGACAGCCGCCCTCCAGCAACCATTTCCCTCCGCCTGCAGGTGACGGAATTTCGACAGTGCCCGGCCGACCTTTCGAAAATTGCGTTCACATTTGCGTTGTCAGGGACTGTTTCGTCAACTTCCGTGAAACCCGTTCGCCTGGCCATGACCAAAAACTTCGCCCCTCAACATCCTGTGTGGCGAAGGGGTGATAAACTGTCGACGGCGGACTTTAGAATTTTTTCTGACACCTGTCGAAACTTTTTGAGTTCCAACAGCCTGTGTGGCGAGCCTCTTATTGCGAGTCAATACATTATCTACTTGTTGCAATCATCATCAAAATCATGTGTGACAGCCTGTTGGCTTTCTAATCACCTGAGATGACCTGACTGGAAAAAGTGCGACAGCGTCGGGTACATATGGTGCATGCAAATGTGCAGGCATGCCAGGTGGGACGTACCCGGGTGCCACTTTCTCGAAAGCCATCCAAGCAAATTGGGCCTCGCATGCCACCCTTCACCACACGTGGAGGCGTGTTAGGAGGGATGTACACAGGTGTCGTCTTGCTGAAATCCATCCAGGCAAATCGGGGCTTGCATGCAACCCGTTTTGTCTAGGCGGGTTCATGTGTTGTATGCATGCCTGCAAGCACGTCGAGCAGGTTATAGGCATCGGGCAAATCAGACCTCGCATGTCAATCCGTTTTGCCTAGATGGATTTCGGGGCAAAACGACACTTTGCGATGCATCCAGGCATATAGGCGCATCGGGCAGGAAGTACCCACGTACCGTTTTGCCCAAGTTCCATGAGGCAAAGCAGGTTGCATGCGGGGCCTGATTTGCCTGGATGCATTCCGGCCAAGACCGCACCTAAGTATGTCCTGCCCCATTTTGCTTGGATGGATTTCGGGGCAAAATGACACCCTGTAAAGCACGCAGGCGTGCAAGGAGGGATGATGTCATGTGTTGTTTCGCCCAAAATCCATCCATGCAAAGCAGGCCTCGCATGCAACCCATTTTGCGTAAATGGAATTCGGAGCAACATGTCACCTCACATGCAACCTATTTTGCGTAGATGGATTTCGGAGCAACATGGCACCTCACATGCAACCTGTCTTGACTAGATGGATTTCAGGCAAAATGGCACCCTATGGTGGATGCAAGCATGCAAACGCATTGGGTGGGATGTCCCCAGATGTCGTGTTGCCAAAACTCCATCTAGGCAAATCTGGCCTCGCATGCAACCCGTTTCGCCTAGATGGATTTCGAGGGTCAAAATGGCACCTCGCATGCAACTCGTTTTGACTGGATGGATTTCGCACGAAAACGGCACATCCGGTGTGTTTCTGCAAAACGCCTGAGAAAGGTACTGGGTTGGGATATAGATGAGAGTTGAGCACTGGGACTGGGTAAGAAGGGAATTTCGATATTTAAATTGGGTACAGATGAAATTCTTACAAAAAGAGAATGTGCAACACTTTGTTCTGCCACTCAAAGAAGTTGGGGCCAGTTTTCAGAGCCAAGCTAACTCGAGCCTCTAACGACCCTGTGGTCATTCGATCAAGTCAGTATCAGCACCCCATTCGCCAAGCTTTCCTTTCCTGATGGGCATGGGGCTGTCAGTAGTCACAACATTGCATTGCACACTCAAATCCCCTTCCCTACTGCTGAAAATAGGCGTCAGCGTTGTATTCGGGTAAACCTGCAGTCACCCTTGCCGACCCGAAGCTCAGAAGTTACCAGCCGATAACACGCACGGTCACTGTGCAACTTGGCAGGCTCAAGAAAACCATACCAAGTCAATGTAACTCCAAACCGGCCGACCTCGATCAGTTGGGATCTACTCGGCGTACCCAGTCCTGCAGGCCCTCAATGTCGGGCAACAAAATTTGCCCATGCCCAAAAACAGGCTGGCAAAATTGCGGGTGTACCCATGTAAGGAACCCGACTGTTCATCACTTGTTGGAGTGCTTCAGATCACATGCGTAGACACAGATTTCACAGATTGCAATATCTCACACATAGCTCAATAGAAGACGAATGAGAACCAGAAAGCTCAACTCAAAATATCATAGCCAGATTAGAAGAGGGAAACGTGAGTCCAAAAATGTATAGCGTTGAACAGAGTTACAAGTACTCTTCAATCAATTACGAGTTCCAAGCGTGGCAGTCTTTCAATGCCAACTGCCAATTGTCAACAACAGCGTCCAATAGGTAATTATCTCTATAGCTCTCTCCTCCCCCTCTTGTCTGCTTTCTTCTCTCTCTCCCTCTATGTCTATAGTCCTGGTCTACTCACACTCATCATGCATGCACACTCCCTATCACACGAGGATCTACTCTGAATACTACTCACTGGTACTCCTACTACTAACCTTTCTAATGCTACTAACTTCTATTGGCGCAGCTATGGCTGCTTTCCTCCGCCAGCGCCCAGCTCCCTTCTTCTTCCTTAGCGCAGCTCTCTAGCCTGCACAGTTCACTAGCATTCTGGCGCACAAGTGCCTTAGCACTTCCACCCTCTCATGCCAATAAGTCTCTGTCGAATGAGGAGGTTGGCCAGTCCTTTATACTACTAGACTGGTCTGGCGAGGTCTACTTTCAGCCTCCCTCGGCCTGGGACTCTTCCCTAGTACCTGTTGTTGCAAAGTGTGTGTCCCAATACCCTTTCCCATGGTCTGCTGGTGTTGTGGCCGTTGGGTCTGTCTTTTGGACTCCTAAACTGAATCAGACGTGACCCTCGGAACTGTGACTGGCTTGGGACTGTGACCTTTGACTTAGTATTGAACAGACATGACCTTATCTTTAGCACTAAAACAAAACGTAGTGTCTGTTCGTCCAGGACCTGACTATGACTTTCCACACGACTTTTCCTTTTCCTTTGGATGCGACCTTTGCCTCAAAGTACTAATCTTTTGGAACACTACACATAAAATTAAGTTCTGGCCGTCGGGCCCCATTATGTTGGAGTACTCATTTGGGGTCTGAATCGTAAAGGCCCTTTTACTCTCACCGGCCTAATTTCAAAGTCCTCTGAGAAAGTTCTTATCTGTCCACGATGTTGATTCCTTTTTTTACTCGCTCATAGGCGGATACGATATGCGGTGCTGATTCAATTAGCTCTTCTCTGGTATACCAACGATCTTCACTTTGATCTTGATATGCAAATCTGACTTTGTACTTTCGTTGAGGTCTACACCTACGTCCAATTTGAACAACGCTTTCACCAACGACTTTATCCGCGTCATATTTACCATCCACACTTGGAGGAATCGCTGATTTGCGGTTGGGAAACACTTCATTAGTTATGCAAGGTAAGAGCTTTGACACGTGAAACACCAG